CGAGCATGTACATGCTGATTTCAGGGACCCAGGCATTCGCCTCACTTCCTCTAGCTTCTTGGCAGTTAGAAGTGTATACAGCACAGCCATGTCTTTGGGGTCAGGTCTTTGTCCATTTCTTTGTTCAGATCATGCTTCCTGCCTGTGTTACTTGGAGGCCAGGGAAGTGGGAGGACTGACCAATGTCTTCCTAAGCACTTGGGGGTCTCCCATGAGGCCAGGTTTCCCCTGTGTGTTCAGTCACAGTGCTGTCACCCCATTAGTGCCATTGGCAATAGGACACAGCTGGAGATGAGCTGGAGTGAGAGCTGCCTGTGCCCCATGGCAAACATCTGCTGGCGCCAGTCTGTCCTCGCTGGAAGCAGTTTGGGGAACTGGGTGTTAGGTGCCAGGGAGCAGTCCTACCATTCAGGCAGAACTGGCTGAGAATGAGGGAGGAGCATGTGGATTCTACCTTCCCCACCCTAAAGCCGTCTTCCCACCCTCAGGCCCCGAGTGGCACAGCCCCACCAGCGCCCCTCCTACCTTCTGGGTACTTGTACTTTTCGGTGACATCCATGCGAGAGTAGCTGCCCACCGCCTTCGTGCTGATGTATCTGCCAATGGTGTTTGTGTCTGAGGAATTCTGCTTCTGGGTGTTGCGGCGGGCATCGTAGATCCAGGTGATGCGGTCGGCATTAACCTCCGCAAAGATGAAGGGCATGTCGAAGTCCAGGTTCACATCGCCCTCTCGGACAGCTGCCACCGAAGCGGGGCCGCACTGGAACACCCCTAGTGGCCAAGATGCAGAGGTTGGGTGCATGCCAAAGCCAGGCCCATCTGCAACAGCCCACCCAGGACCTGTGCTGCTGGAGACCATCCATAACCACCCAAGTCTCCTGCCTCTGCCCTGCCAAACTCCTGCAGCCTCAACAGTCTGCCCCCTCTCATTTGGCACTCAACGTAGACCACCAGTATCTTCTGCAATGGCACCCTGGTCAGACGCCACCTCTTTAGGAGACTAGCCCAGTCCGGAATTCTGTGGGTGCATACTTCATGCTGACACACTGCCCTCAGTCTTACTGTCTTGCGCTCAGGGTGGCCTCTTTTCTTCATCTGCGAATTGTTCTTCCCAAATCATCGAACCTCTATTCCTGGAAGACTTACCTGAACACCCAGCCCTCAGGAGTGTCTTGTTCCTCTGAGCTCCCAAGCCCTGACTGTCACCTCCCTTCTCTAGCACTCTTTGTAGGTAGCGCTGATAGATAGATAGATAGATAGATAGATAGATAGATAGATAGATATAGATAGAGAGGTAGATGGATAAGTAGGTAGATAGATAATAGATAGATGAATGGATGGATGAATATAAATTAGATCTAGATATATAGATCTAGATCTAGATATATAGATATAGATATAGATATAGATATAGATATAGATATAGATATAGATATAGATATAGTTTAATTCATGAAATGCCCAGCTGTGAAAAAAGCAAGGTGCAGCAGAATAGAAAGAAGAGTGTTATCCAATTTGCATTTACAAAACAAATGAACAAAAAAGGTACACACACATTTTTATGTGCCTAGAACAGTCACCTTCAACTGTTTCTGTTTCTTTAAACCATGACCTCTAGAAATAGATTTTACGTCTTGCACATATATGAGCCTGAAACAGAAGTTTCCCAGGACAGTGCTTACTCTTACTATGTCCAATACATCCTGCTATTTTCTTTCCTTCCCCCAACCCTTTTCCATGCCATCTTATTCATTCCTTAAATTGATGGTCACAACCCACTAACTATATTATTATTTTTTTTGTTAACCCTCACCTGAAGATATTTTTCCCCATTAATTTTTAGAGAGTGGAAGGGAGGGAGATGGGTGGAGAGAGAGAGAGAGAGAGAGAGAGAGAGAGAGAGAGAGAGAGAGAAACATTGATGTGAGAAAGACACATTGGTTGGTTGCTTCCTGCACGTGCCCTGACTGGGGCTGGAGATCAAACCTGCAATCCAGGCACATGCCTTTGACAGGAATCGAACCCAAGACCTTTAGTGCTTGGGCCGATGCTTTAACCACTTAACACACTAACCAAAGCCCACTAACTTGATTTTATAACCACTAATGGGTTGCAGTGAAAAGTTTGAAAAACAGTGGTCCAAAACATATCTGGAGGGTTACTATCCTATCCCCAATCCCCCCCACCCCCCAAATCTGGTCACATTTGTTGCTTCTGATAGAGAGGCTGCATTGGGGAACTTAATGTTCATTGTAAGTCCTTTGAGAATGATTTGAAAAAAAACTTTAAGCATGCGCACATATTACTTGTATAATTAAATTTTTTTAAGTTTGAAAGAAATAACGAAAAATGAAGGTAATAGACAATCCTGTGCTAGGAGGAACAGACTACTAGAGGAAAATCACTGTTGGCAGAGGACGGCTTCTTTTCCTTGTTGCCTAGCACATGCCAGGGCCTCCGCAGCAGCGATGGCATCCGTGTAGGCGCAGGGAAGGCACTCAGTTAAATAGCAGCTGGAGCCAAGCAAAATTAGAAGGAAATGTACTTTGGAAATACATTGTTTTAATCCCATTGTGACTTCCAGAATGGAGAGGACTCAGGTGACCTTCCTGTGCCACTGTCCACTACTGTAAAGAACTGAGAGGCTGTGACTTGGAACCAAACCCAGACCAGGGGCCATGAGTGGGCCAGCAGGGGGTTACCTTGACTCCTCTCCTGGGGGGTGGCGTCCAGAACCTGCCATCCATTGTACGAGGGGCCCAGGTCATTCCGCACAAACCAGCCTTCATTCCAGACGTGGAAATTCCTGCAGACAGAAGCAGAGACTGAAGAGCTTGCCCTAGGGCCACACAGCTGGTGAATGGCAAGACCATATCTCTGACCTGACAGTGCAGGGCTCTGATACTGGTCAAGTGAGTTTACTCCATGTCAGCTATTGTGCTAAACCTTGGCGAGCAT